GTATTAAAATGAAAAAAAAATATAAATTAAAATTAAAATAATAATTTTAAATTGAAATCTTTAATTTAGGTAAAAGATAACTTAAATTAGTTAATATAAGTTTTATTCTTTTTTTGTTAAATCATTTAAATAAATAAAATTTTAACATTTTACTTAAATTATTTAAAAGCCGCTCGAAATCTAGAAAAGCCACCGGAAAATTGACCGCCCGAAATTTGTTAGAAATTTGCGGGAAAGCCGTTAGAAAATTGAGAAATCTTTAATTTAGGTAAAAAATAACTTAAATTAGTTAATATAAGTTTTATTCTTTTTTTGTTAAATCATTTAAATAAATAAAATTTTAACATTTTACTTAAATTATTTAAAAGCCGCTCGAAATCTAGAAAAGCCACCGGAAAATTGACCGCCCGAAATTTGTTAGAAATTTGCCGGAAAGCCGTTAGAAAATTGACCTCCAAAAAATTCCGCCTGTAATGGGTGATTTTCCTGTAGTGTTTATTTTATTGCATTTATTATTAAAAAATTCTTTAAAAAAATTGCAAATTTTTTTCTCCACAAGCCTTGTTTATGTATTTTTATATTGTTAAAGAACCAACATCAAAAATTAAAATTAATTTTATTTCCTTAAAACTAATTTTCTCCACAAGCCTTGTTTATGAATTTTTATATTCTTTAAGATTTTTCAATTTTATTTCCTCTCTTTGAATTCCTTAAAACTAAAGTAAGACTTCGTTTGGGATGGCTTCCTTACTGGTTCTTAAAGCTTTTTTTTTTTACAAAATTTTTAATTTTTATCCTAAAAAATTGCTTTAAGAAGCAGTAAGAAAGCTGCCCTAAACAAAACCTAAGCCATGTTATTTATAACCAAGTAATTGGCTACGCCTAGTTTCCATCAGTTCCTGGACAAAAATTCTCCTCTTATCAATGTGAGAAATTGTACTAAATGCCTTTCTATTGTAAGTTACTGAAATCTAAGAGCTATATGATAGTTCTCATATAAATCCCTAAATCCTAAAAAAAAAAGTAGAGTAAAATCATACCTAGTACAGAAGAGTTTTGAACTCTTTTGTCATATCTCCACAGACTCTGATTTATCAAGAAGTCAAAGTTTGCATCATCGCTCTCATTGAAATTATCTAGGAATGTCAAAAGAGTGTACTCTGTAGGCTCTGGTGCAAAAAATTGATCAATCACCACATCAACTGTCTGATCACAAAAAGCCTAATTTTGAGTTTAAAACCATTAGCACAGCATCAAATATTATTTTGCGAAATATTCCAATAACAAAAAATCTATTCGGAAAACTCACACAGAGAAGAATATAAAGTTCATCCATGTTATCAGGATTTGAAACATTGTAGCTGCGGTTAATGATTATTTTATCCACATTTTCACCTCATGCATCAGAGACATACTGTTCACAAGCGAATCTAATTAATTACCTAAATTACCTATTAAAAAGTGATATATCTTAAACATGGAATCTAATTATAAAATATAAAGGGAACAAAGCCCATACAACTGATTTGTCAAGTTCCAATAGAGTGTGTGGCATCATTGGAGGCAACAAAGTGAAGATTGGATGCCATCGCTATTCTTCCTGTAGGGAATTTACATCAGACCGTAGATGTAGTTGAAGAGTAAGATATATGAACATCATTAATAAATATTTTTTATCAAGCCGTAAAAGTTACGTGAGATTCTTTATAGATAAAAAATGAAGATGTTATGATAACAAGCAAATTTATGTGAAAAAATCAAGCATTCAGCTTACTAAATCACTCATGTGACAAGAAAGGTTTCTTAATATGGTTGACCAAATATTTCTACTCTAGAGCCATGTATAGTGGAAACTTCAATATGGAACGCAATTGGGCCTAACATAGCCGTGTACAATGCAACTTTTGTTGAAGGAAAGGTTTTATATATATATATATATATAGAATTACAAACTTCATCGTCAAAAGCTTAATGAATTTACATAGCGAAGTAAATTAAGGTACTATGGCTTGAATTCATAACCTGATTCTCTTAAGCAAGTGTGAACAACCATCAAATGCTTCATAAAGCTACTGCATATGAGCAAGTTGATTGTTTCAAAAACAAATTTTAGAAAACAATGAGAAAAGTATAAAAATAGCAGACAAACAAAATATAATTGTGATTGTGGTTTGAAAAGCAAAGCAGTGAGAAAGAGATCCTAAACTCACTTTGATCCACATACAAAAAAAATATATAAACAAACATAAATTTATATAAGAGCAAAATTTTTATGGAACTCAACATAAAAAAAGCTCATTAGCACAATATTAATACAATTTTACAACAAAAGCCTTAAAAAGAAAGTTAAAAGATGCAAATCATGTAATTTTAGTGAACTTTAAATACTAAATAAAGTGAGATACTTTAAAAGAAAGAACATGGAATAGAGCTACACACAAAAATCACATGACATACTAAGAGACAAACTAATCAAAACCAATAAATCCAACTAACAAGACATATTAATAAGATATAAATTATCATTCTTTAAATTGGAAGGCAGGTTAAGTTAGAAGGGCAAAGTATTTTGAATGTATAAGAGAAATCAAATGAAAAAAAAACTTCAAATAGAGCGAAGGGTTGTTGCACAGTCTAAAGAAGCATCTTGAGAGATAAAACTGTAGTAGTATATGAGTTCAAACAAAAAAAAATAAAAGGAACAATATTAAGATTTTGGTAGGTACAAAATATGAATAAGAAATATCTATATGGAAGAAAAAAAAATATGATGTTCTGAGAGAAGAAATCGAGGATAGAGGGGCCATCGGTGAAAGGCCGAGGCAAGTAAAAAAAAACTGGGAAGAATGTTAAGAGAAACTCACATTGGGATGTTTGCTATCCTGCGAGCAAAAATTCACGTGAGTAGACATCTCCTTACGAGCACATGAAATTTTATACAAAGAGAATGCTTTATTTCATGCAGGGATGCGTTGATAGGAAGAAGAAATAAGAAATATGCCATTTCGCGAGCAGATAAAGACTCCTCGTTACAAAGAAGAAGGGACTCCTCTTTAAGAAGAAGGTATTGGAATATTAACGATGGATATTAATTTAAGATTTTTTTAATCAACAATCACGATGATGTATTGGGAGATTCACAAACAACAATTTAATAGTAGTATAGATATGCTGCTGATATATGTTTGGATTGACCTTATTTTAATTATTATAATTTTCCATCTTAAATTTATTCGATTATGTTGATCTAGATATTCTAATAGTGGTTGCATATTCATAGTAGTATAGATATGATGTTGATATATATTCGGATTGGCCTTATTTCAATTAGTATAATTTTCCATCTTAAATTAATTTGAGTATGTTGTTCTAGAAATTCTAATAGTGGTTGCAGATTCATTTTCTTCCCACTATATTTTTCCCACACGTGATGTATCATTTTAATACTCCAAGGATATAAAAGCTTACAAGAAGAAAATTAGGAAGGATCGGGAAAATAAGAACAAAGATATGGTAGAATGACTAATTGATTGTCAAGCAATATAAATTATAGATATTGGAACAAAAATAAAGATAAATTCACCTTTAGATGTTTGCTCCATCCTACAAGTAGAACATTAGAATTGTCTGAGAGCATATACGATTTTATACAACAAAAGGAATGCATCATTTGGTGCAGGAATGCATTGATTCAAAGAAGAAATAAGGATGGATGTGTTGGAAAAAGAAGAGCATATGAAGTCATTTCTTTACGAAGAAGAAGGTATAGGAATATAGTCAAAAAAATTAACGATGCGTATTAAGTTAAAGTTTTTTTAACGAAAACTCAGGATGATATATCGAAAGATTGACAAGCATCATTTTAATTGTATTATAGAATTAACAATAGTGTTGTTATGTGAAGTTTTGAGGATGTTAATGGAGATTGAGTTCTAATGTAGTGGTTAATTAAAAACCTGGCAAACAGAGATGGCTAACAGCAAAAGGGTTGGGGGAGTACAAAGAGAATATAACTAATGGATCTTGAAGCCTAACCAGAGAACCTCAATGAAACATAAATGAGACTCTCATGAAAGAACTTAACAAGGCATTGAAGGAACAAATAAATAAAAGGATAAAGAAAACAATCAAGCTAACCATCACACATAAAGTTGAACAAAGCAAAAATTCTTTTTTATTAATCCCACAATTGAATTCATCTTACATGACACTTGCTTATATATGAAGAATAATCTTGGCTAA